GCTGAACTGAAGACTTAAAGTGCAAAGATTTCAGAGAGGAGGAGGGGTTAGATCTGCAGCCCGGTTCGTTCCTTAGGATTATCCCGTTGCGGTAATCTTAAGAAGAGTGATTATCTCCCTTCGCCGAGATAAGAGCTACGGTTTCACGATCCCTTCACGGATAGACGAAACTCTGTCCAAATATTGATTGTTCGGTGGTCCACAGACTAACGCGTCCCTGTCACAGGCCAAGATCTCACGCAAGCAGCGGGTGATAAACACTCATTGTGTTTGTTTGAAGAGAATTGTAAACGTCTGAAGTTTGTAATGAATTTCGCAATGAAACAATCAATTTTCATCGCAAACACTAGTGTGTGTGTGTGTGTGTGTGTGTGTGTGTGTGTGTGTAGGATCTTTACATCAAAACCACCTTTACTTTCATCCAAATTGGTACTTACCAACTTTAAAGTTTTTTGATGTAAACCACATTTACTTACAAACATGTTTACAATGTCACACCTCATCCAATATTTAGCCAAAAAGTACGCGAAATGACCTATTTTCCCTAACCATTTTCTTGATTTTTCATCTTCTTCCTCACAAGCCCTAACCCTAACCCTAGCCTTCTCATCCTCCTCTTCTCCCTGTCTTCCCTCTCCCTCCTCCACCAACTCCCCTCCCCCTCTCTCTTGTCCTCCCTCTTACTTCCCGACATCTTACTCTTCTATTCCTTCCAAGTGGGAACTAGGATATATGGTTTGGTGAAGGTAGAGGCTATGGGTTAGTGTTAAGGTTTTGGAGGAGGTGGCGGTCATGGGTTAGGGTTAGGGTTTTGAGAGAGGTGGTGGCCATGGGTTAGGATTTATAGAATAGGAGGATGGAGGAGGCTAGGGTTAGGGTTATGGGTTGGAAGGAAGAAGATGAGAGTAAAATGGGAATATTTGATTTTTCGTGGGTGAACGGTAAAAAAAAAGTGTGACATTACTAACATGTTAAAAAGTAAAGGTGGTTTACATAAAAAGTTTAAAGATGATAAGTATCAATTTGGGTAAAAGTAAATATGATTTTGATGTAAAATCCCACATATACACACATACACAAACACAAACAAAGGCATATATATATTGACTCTTATCTCGGGGAACAAATTCACATGGGTAGTAAGTGGATTGGGATGTGACACATCACTACCAAGCATAAAATTTATGCTTGGTACCAAGCATACCCATATTTCTATTTGGGTAAAAGTAAATATGATTTTGATGTAAAATCCCACATATACACACATACACAAACACAAACAAAGGCATATATATATTGACTCTTATCTCGGGGAACAAATTCACATGGGTAGTAAGTGGATTGGGATGTGACACATCACTACCAAGCATAAAATTTATGCTTGGTACCAAGCATACCCATATTTCT